AACAGAGATGAGATCGATTCGTGTTTTTTTTTGGAACCAAACTGACCCAATTCCATGTCTAATGGAAAAAAATGAGACATTTTTAGTAAGTGTTAATTCTATTTGTTTATAGTTTGTTATCATTGTCTATGTCAACAGTTAATGGATCTTCTATTTATTGCGAGCAGTTGTCATTTGAGGATACATATAAGAAATTAGTAGCGAAAATGTCCCCAAAGATGAAAAGAAAAGTACTAAATGACCCATCAGAATATTTTCAAGAATAATAATTTGCGAAAGTTTCTATTTTTCATTAATCTAGATATATGAACTAATATCAAAGCTAAAGATAAATATTTCATTCTTTCTCTCTCTCTCTCTGTCTTGTAGTGTCAGATTCTAATATTTTATTTAGCATCTCATAGTTGTTTTTATCGTCGTTAAATAAGTTTATTAGTTAAATATTTAGTCGTTAATCAGATTTCTTCAAGAAGATAAAAATCGTTTAGTGCTGATGTAGAAAGAAGAATAAAGCAAGTTTAAACAATTGCGATTCAACATTATGTGGATCATCGTAATGAACGACATTATGATGATCTTAAAAATACTATCGAATATTTAGAAGATTTATCATTCGCAGTTACTAGATAGAAAAAAATTACATTTTTTAAATTTTTTCTTTTTTTCTATTTCTTGTATAAAATTTCTATTAAAATATTAATGTTATGCCAAAAAATAAAGAATTTTACTTGCTAGTTGCAATTTTCTATAAGACCTTTCTACGACCAATTCATTGTAAAATATAAAATTGGAAATATCATAGAAGTATTTGAGTCACTCAAAAAAAAAAAACTAAAACATGAATACAAAGGAGTTCAGCTATAAAATTATACAAATTCAGCAATCTTGTCTATTAGACAGTGAAGAGAAAGAAAATTAGAAAGACGATTTGAGAAGTCGATACTATATGTACACGGAAACCAGATCAAGTCTCAGAAGAGCAGGTAGCTGTAATTAGCCTAAAGATGCACTGACTCTACTCAGTTTTGATTACACTATCCGAAGCTGTCGGTAGGCTCCATCGAACCTAGAAAACGAGTTTTGAGACAAAATTCAATCAATAATATAATCATTTTTTTACATTCAAAGAAATGAAAAAATAGTATCAGATAGAGCATTTAAAGCTGAGTACAACTGACATGAATCTGTTGGTTCTCAGCACTACAAATAAGTTATTTTCGTCTCAAAGTTCCTAAAAACGGGTTTGTCCACATTCAAAGATAATATATATTTTCACTAAGCAGAATTACATGGTTTTCGTCAGTCGTATCCAATTTTGAATGCTCTATCTGATGTTATTCTTTTATTTCTTTGAATATTAAAAGAAACTTACAGAATTTGTCAAACTTTGTCTTAAAATTCATAAATTCCGATCAATTCTGAAATTCTTTCCTTTTTTTCTTTAGATTTTGTAGTCTAATAATTATTTCGAATAGAACAATCAAAACTAAGAAATGTCACCTTTTAGAACTACACTTCAGGTATTGGTACATCCATAAATTAGCTAGTGAGTTTTTGATCTGGTATTCTCATCAGTTTATATCTATTTCATATTGATCTAATATCAATCTTGATCTTTATTGTTTATAATTTTCATTATTTCTTTTCATATTCTAATCTTTCGATCTAATTCGATAAAATTATTCTGATAGTTGTCATGAAAAATTCTGATCGATTTTATAATATAAAAATAAATATTACCGAAATTTAAATCTTCATTTGTTAAATCATAATCACGAATAATTGGTTCTATGTCAGTTAATGATTGATGTTCATAATAAACATGATGATCATTTAATACAATAAAATTAGCATTTCGTATTGAACATATAACATCAACAAAACCATTTTCAATTCCAATTAAAACTCTAAAAGAAAAAGTATAATTTATTTTTTATTATTTGTCTTTTTAATTTTTTTTTCTAACCGAATATTAAGATTACGATAACTTGGAGTTATTTCCAATGATATTGTTCCATTATCATCACTTCTTATTATTTCATTACCATTTAAACATGATTTTAAAGAATTTCCAAAATCAAAACATTGAGTTGTATCAGTTGCTAATAATCTTTATAGAAAAAAACCAAAACAAAAAAATTATAAAATAGAAAGAAAAACAAACTTATAACATCGATGACCACGATCAGATATAACACCATTATAACCACGTTTACAATTTGGACATGGTTGATGAATTCTTGAACGACATTGATTTTGTTCTTGATTATTTATATTAAATGTACGATTTGAAAGACATTGATAAAGATTTAAATCAACTAAATTTGAATCCAATAAATGTGAAAGACATTTACAACCATCAGTTACTTTAAAAAAAAAACAAAAAAAAGAAAAAGATTTGTTTTTTATTTATTTCAAATATTTTTCATTTATTTATATTTAATTTACTATTTGTTCGACAATCATATGTTTGTCCAGAACATGAACATTCAAAACAAGTTGCTGTCGGTGTTTTTAATTCAATTAAATGTGTAAGTTGTTTTCCATTTGGTCGATAACGACAATATTCACATCGGAGACCACGAGTTAAATTTCCACAAAATAAACACACCTATTTCATTCAAATAAAATCTTTAGTTGAAAAACTTTTATTCATTAAAAACAAAACAGAACATCTGATATTAATAAATATGACTTCGGGTATATCCGATGAAGGGTTTTTTTTTTATTAATAAATAAACAAGGTAAGAGAGAAAAAAACAAAGCCATTGAAATGATTAAAAAATCAGACATTTAAGCATGTGTCTTGATTAAAAATCATAAAAACTTAGATGTATTCTGAAAAATTTTACCAGATCGAAAAACACGAATAATTACAAATCAACTGATCAACTTTTAAAGCATTTTCGAATTTTTTCTCTATTCCTACACATAGAAATTCTATGAAGTTCCCTAAGATGTTATTGTGCTGTAAGGCAATATTCTTCTGACTGTTATTTTTGTCAACAAAAGAAAAAAGAAAGGTCGTAAAAGAACCAATCAACGGTAAGATGCAAGAGAGCATGGGAGAGTCTCTAGTGATTTAGCATAAGCCATGAAAATTAATAAAATTCATTAGATGCTAAAGATTCATCAACTATTTTCTCTACAGGATTCGTTAAGAAAGTTATTAGCACGCTTTTCCATGCATTAGACATTACAATTAGAACAAATCTCTAGGAAAAAAAAAAAGATTGCCATAGTTTTAAGCAAATTCACTATGGAAATTACTTTTTTCTTTGTTTTCATTTCCTTATTTGATCACATGATTGCCGACAAAGCTTTCATTAACAAATAACGTCTCTTTGTATACCCGTATTATCTACAGAATGGAAGAAGTACGACAACGCATACATGCATAATAGTGCTATTAAATTGATGGCACAAAATGGAAGATAAAAGAATTCATATGAATTAACCTAAAGAAAATGTGATAATCTAAACTTCTAATAAATTGTTTTATCATTTTCCACTTATTGAAGAATATGATTGTACTCAAGTATTTAAAGTATTTTAACTACTATTGTTATTATTATCAGTTTTTTCTTTAAGATAAGATAAAATTCTTTTGTAAATTATTGCTGGTTTTTTTTGTCTTTATCTCATTGATATTCTTAATACTCGATTACAAACAAAAATAGGTTTTAAAAAAGAAAATTATAAATCATTATATGAAAAATCATGTAATTTTCATTTCATAATTTGATTTAAATTCTTCATTGATCAATTTAATATAAAAATTTTATATCGAAAAAAAAAACAAAAATAATTTGAATTTTTTCTCAAATAATAATTAATCTTAAATTCAATGACTAACCGGTTCATCATTATCTTTATTATCATAAAATGTATTCGATTGATTTAAAAGTAAATATGAATGAACAATTTCTGGTGTTAATCGTTGTTCACATTCTCGGATATTTCGAGTAAGATAAATAGATGAACATAAACGATGTAATTGATTAACATATAAACATACATTTGTTTGATAATTACAATGAGATAAACAGGATACACATTGACCTGATTTTGATTGAAAAAATCTATTAAAATAAATATCGAATAATTACATTTTTCATCAATTCGATTTTCAACAAAAATAAAATCAAAAATTTTTACTCAATTTGATTATTTGTTTTACATTGATCACCATTTGATAAACTGATGAAAAATAATAAAAATAAATGACGATAACACATTCGTCTTTTGATTTATAAACACTACATTTTCATCATTGAATTCTTTTTTTTCTACAATAGAGAAAACAAAAATTTTCGTTTTTTTTTAATAAAAAATTTCACATGGTTTCAACATAATGATATAAAATTAAAATAGAACATTAAAATCGCATTATCATTCTGAATATTCAATGAACATTCTCATGTTATTCTATCAATATATTCAATATTTTCAGTCAAAAATATAATCACAAATTGGATAAGCTCATATATTTTTGATCGTAAATATCAAAGTTATCTATGAATATTCGACCAGTCATCCGTTTCAATAATACCCATTCAGATAAAAAACAAGTTGTATCCAACCTTGTTTCCTATTGGTTTATTTTATTAACAAATTAAAAAATATTCGTTAACCTCAATATATACAATTTGTTTGATTTTTTTTCTTTGAATAAATCATTAAAATCAAAAGATATTTAGAAATTTTTAATATAAAATTTTCTTTTAAATATTCAACTAATAAAAAAAAACAAAAGCCATCTGTCAAAATTGATCAATGGTGGTTATATTGTTATAATTATGGTTTTGTCCTGTTCTCATTTATATACGTGCATGACTTATGAACGAAACATGTTAAATATAAAGAAAAAAGCTTTAGAATAAAATTTAACAATAAATGTTTGTTCAAGGATTTTACTTTCTTTTAGGGTTCGTGTTGTAGCATTAGTTTTATTTTATTACAAATTTCTCTATTCAAAAAAAAAATAAAAATAAAAACATATGGATTCACAAGAACGACCAAATACACAGGTAATTTATGTCATTTAAATAGAAATTGATTTATTTATTTTTTTTTATTTTTCATATTGATATATAATAGACCGTATCGGTCTCCAATCCATATTTATTACGTTTAAAATGTTTTCTTTGTCAAGCGTCGAATCCAAATATTAATGATGAAAATAATAATTTTAAAAAAGATAAAAGTAAGATTAGATTAATTGACATTTTTATAAATCAAAACAAAATTATATTCTTTTTTTTTTTTTTTTGTAGATACAAACGAAAAATCATTTAATCCTATTTCAAAGGTAGTAAATAGTATATAACATTAAAATCTTTGGAAAAATTTTTTCGACTAAAGAAAAATCTAAATATTATTATAGATAAATAAAATATGTTCTTTGTTTTTTATCAAAAATATTTCAAACAGAATATTTAATAAAATTTCAAAATAGTTCTCCATTAAGGTAGTGTCCTATTACATAGAGAAAGTTTTCTACATAGTCTTTAGTATTTTCTTTAACGAAAATAAGAATTGAATATAAAATGAATTATAGGAAATAGTTTCTTATTCACTTTTCGAAATTGTCAATGTTATTATGCTTTTCACTTTTGTTATGATATAAAAATATTTTTAAGTTTGATTCAACACATTAATTCATTTAAGGATACGCTTCCCTCACGTTTTACCTACTTAGTAGGTCCGATCGACTTCAAATACTTTTTCAAATATACCCCATACTATTTTGGGTTGGGTTATATTGTTCTACTGATTTTCGGTAGTTCTTACAAAAGAAACGCATGCGTTTATTTATAGTATCTTGGATATTATGGTTTTTTATTTTTTATTCGAAAGACAAAAAATAAAAAGATATCCATCTTAAGCTAATGAAAGAAGACCGTCGTGATTACAGTATTTCATAGAATACAGCATCCAGGAACTTTCAGTCTATGACAAATTTTGACCTATTCGTCAACATCTATCTACCTTAGAAATTTTAAAATTTTTCTGATGAAATCTTGAGAAGAGATGGAGTACTCTTAAGAAATTTCAAGTTGATAAGATATTTAATTTTTTTTTCTAAATATTTAAATATTTAATATTAAAATATTGATATTTATTAAGCTTCCATTGTATACATGTCCGGATTGTGAAGCTAAACTTCGATTAGAAGAAAAAGAAACTGCAAATAGTTCAACTGTTACATCTCAAGTATGATTTATTTCTATTATTTTAAATTCTATATTTTTAATTTAAATTAATTAGGAATTTGAAGAAGAATCTGATCGAATGATTATTGTACCGGATACAAGTTCTGATGATAATCATGATGAATGTTGGTGTCAATCATGTACACATGATATTGAAGATTTAAATTCTCGTCAATTATGGGATGATCTTTCTCATATTATTAAATGTGTTTACCGTGCAACAGATAAAGAATTTTCAGGTTTTAAAATAAATACTTTTTTCTTCTTTATTTATTTTTTTGATCTTTCTATTTTTAGAAAATCAATTTTCTGATGATATTTCTAAAGCAAAAGACTATGTGAAAAAGTAAATAAACGAAAAAAAAAGAAACATTTTTAATTTTTATATAAAAATTTGTATTTATATTCAGATTAACTGATATAAATCCTCAATTATTATTTAATAAACTTGAATCAATTGTATTAGAATATGTTCGTGAAATACGAAATCAAGTATTAGAACGTTTTCATACATGCTCAAAAACTTCTCATGATGTACAATTATTTATTTCATTTCTTTTGGATGAATATAATATGTTTATACAAGCAGCAAATAATGTTTCAACAATTGTTTCTTATTTAGTTCGTATTTATAAACTAAAAAACAAAAAAACAATAAGAAATATCTTTTTTTGTTTTCTTTTAGGAAGAAAATCATATGAAATCTTTTCATTTAACATGGTTATTATATAATAAACATTTATATGAACAATTAATTTATATGGATAGAAAAATCCAACATTCAATGTCAAAAATGATTGATTTATTACAACCATCAAATGATGATGATAATGATTATTCACCAGCTGAATATACCCAATTATTAAATAGATTTTTAGCATTTGATGAAGAAATGTCTGAAATAGCTTGTTTATATAAAGATTCACAAGCTAAAATGATATCACCATCATTTAATATTTGTATTCATAATGGTTATCAATTTGATAATAATATTAAAATTAAAAAAAAGAAAAAATGTAAAAAAATTAAAAAATCAAAAAAATTACAAACATCAACACAAGATAATACCAATAGGTTTGTTTTCATAGAACAAATACTAAGAACTGTACCATTGAACGAAAGACGAGTCGAATGTAAAGTTCTTGTGCTTAATTACAAGAGCAAATATATGTCGTATCATAGTCAGCATACTATCGTTTGAGTTATTTTAGAGAATAGTCGTTAATCATTTGTCCAAAGTCATTCTATGACTGATGATATCGAGGTGTGAATAGAATACCGCGAATGCACTCATTCGTAACGACCTTCAAACTATTGACATTTTTTTGTTTTCTATGAATAACAAGTAGTGTCGAGTAAACTTTTACTATAAACGAAAAAAAAATCAATAGACTTTTAGTTCTTTGTATGTCGTGTAAGTAGGTGAGGTTAAGGGCACCTCCTTCCTTTCCTACTCTCAAAAATTCACTTTTTTTACATCTAAAAATCGAACGGAATATGAACAAAAACTTTTCATGTTTATTAAGATCCTTAAAAAATCCGACTTTAGAGATCCCCTATACAAAAAAAAAACACCTTCTACAGCTCTATCATGTTGCAAATGATCTATATTAATATAGTTTTGTCATCATGAAAATATGTTATGTAGATCAGCGATGCATCCTCCTAACCATTTTACAAGTGAATTAATTGATAGAAATCAAAAAATATGAAATATCGAAAACATTGAAGTTTTCCGCCTTTTTCTTCGAGATGCTTCGACCAATTGAGCAGAAATTTTTTGTGTGACAACTAGGACCAAATCTGGGTATATATATCTTTTCTTTTCTTAAAATAATGTTTTGATGGTTTTTGGCAGATCTTACAAAATTTATCCTAGAGAAAAAACACGTTTTTTTTACAGGACTTCCAGTATTTCAGTTCTCCTGAGCGAACTAAACAATATTTTTCAAAGAAAAAGATTCAGCCATAAAAAAACGAATTTTGGCTGTTTGCAATGAGGAAAACTTCAGGTCATTTTTGGCTCCTACGATCCCTATATCTCATAGAAGGAAGCATTTGGAAATTCTGAGTCTAGGACAACTTGTACTCTACTAGTCAAGATCTATCTACCTTGAGAGTTGCATAATTTTTAGTCGAGCCGTTCTTGAGAAGCCCTGGGAAAATGATCTTAACGATTACTAATTTGTGGTAATTAGAAGGACCGATTCCGGCCAATACTTTGAATGAGACCTAATCAGTTTTCATTGTTGTATCTGATTCTTTAAGTCGAATCTATTTTGTGTTAGGAAAAAAAAACGTCAAATATGTTTATGCATACAAAGGTTAGTTGCCGTTGTGTAAGACAGAAAGTAAATATAATGTTTTTGAAACAAAAAAAATTTTTTTTTTTTGTTTAACTATCAGTAATTAAATCAAACGAAAGATTATTGTTTAATGTTATTTTGATATAAAGAAAATTTCAAAACTATTTTCTGTTAGTGTTTTTGGTTTTTCATTAAAATATAAAACGCTTATTGAATCGATGATATTTATATATTTTGAAAAATTTTGAATTGACTCTCAATCAATCATTAGTTTAAGATGAGTTTCAATACAAATAGAGCTTTATTTAACTTGCTTATGGTACATTATTAAAGATAATTAATATGAAATAATTGAAATAATCTTATAAGATAATCTAGAATGATCTTCTTATACAATTTCTTCGTTTTATTCTTTTCCCTAAAGATGCTAAGACACACACACACAAGAAAAAGGAAACTTTTATTTTTATTCTAAATCAAATTGTAAAAATTTCCTCGAAATAATTTCTTATAGTTCTATAACAACAGCTGTTGATATTCCATCATCGGATAATACATCATCAACAGGTGTATCTTCACAACAAGGTTCAATTGGTTCAGGTATTGGTGGTGATGAATCATCATCTGTCTCATCAGTTGAAGATTATTTACTCGATAATGATATATCATCATCAGGTTATACATTAGAAGATCAAGAAGAATTAACTCGTTTAATGTTTGAAGAAGATTTTAATAAACAATTATTAGCAGGTATATTAGATAGTGTTTCACCTTTTGCACAAATTCAACGTGAATTATATCAATCAAGATTTAATGAAAAAAAATCAAATATAACAACAACAATTGATGATGAAAAATGGATTGAAAGTATTATTCAAGGAATACAATCAGCTAATGAAAAACAACAAAAAATAACAACAAATGATACGAAAATCAATATTAATTCACCAATTGAAAATAACGAACAAACATCAACTAGTGAGAAAATTCATAAAAATTTTAATACTACAAAAATCTATTATTTATTCTAATAATTTCATTAATAATCAAAATTTAACTAACGAAATCTGTTTTTATTTTTATATGTTAACTATAAACTTCACTATGACTCTACAAGAAAAAGACAAAGTATCACTAAAGATTTAAACTTTTTCTAACTGCTAAAACCTATTACACATTAGCTCTTGATTAAAATTTCGATTTTTGAAAAACATTATTATGTAAACAAAGAAAGGTAACAACTAGAGACGTGCAGGGTGACCTTTTTTCTTACTCTTATCCTAGATTACTCTGTAGAATATCTACCAAGGGGAAAACATCGTAAATTTGTACTTTACGTACTTTAATGTATTTTATTGTACTTTAAAGCACTTTAAGAGAGGATCCGCCAGAAAACCGAGTAACATGGCTGAGAAAAATTTTGATTTTTTATTTGAGTATCTGGAAACAAAAGTCTATTAGAATTAGTACTGAATCCAAAATATCAGCTGTATCTGACAATCGTTTGCTGAATTATGAAGTATACACTGCTACCAGAATCCAGAGAGCTAGAACATTCAGCAAGCGATTGTCAGATAGAGCTGATATTTTGAATTTAGTACTAGTTCTAATAGACCTTTGTTTCTAGATACTCAAATCAAACAATCAAAATTTTCCCCACCCATGTTACCCGATTTTCTGGTGGACCATCTCTTAAAGTATTCTAAAGTACTTTACGTACTTTATATACTTTAAAATAGAAAAGTACGATGTTTCCTCCTTGATATCCATCCAGTTAGATAAAATCAATAAAAAAGATGAGTTTTTACGCTTTCAAAGAAAAATCGGGTTTAAAGATGGTTAAATCTTTGGAGACGATAGTAGATACGTTGTATCGCGTATTTTTCAATAAAGAAAATGTTTACGCTCCATTAAACTATTATAGCATGTTATATAATAGATCATCCCATCTGCTATGTCATGCATATCTTTTCTCTCTTTCCATCTATCCATCAAGGCTCATTCTCAGATGTTTTCCTTTCTTTCTACTAATATACATCTGTACACGTCTCTAGTAACAATAATACTAAACTCTTGAAAATCATTCTATCTTCTCTAATTTACCAGTTATGGTTTAGAAAAGTAGAGTAAACTCAAAAGTATGATACTATTATTCTCATTTTTATCAAGGGAAAACAAATTGATTTGTATGCTAGAAATAATTTGTAATACCTTAAGGATATGAACGATGATTGGAAGTAGTTAAAAATTATCGAAAGCCATTAAAAAATCTTCAGTAATAAAATTAAAAGTAAATCCTTGATTTCTATTGATTTTCTTGATTTTCAATTATTTTCAATATTCGAAGTGATTGCTTAAGGATTTCTCATGGTTTTCATTCATATCTGGTGATTCCTATTGGTTCACGATGAACAGATAAAAACTGATTTTCACTGATAGATAGAAATTAGTTTGTTCTTCCTTGAATTTGTATAGTAACATATGAAAGATTTAGATGATTGGAAAAAACCCATGAAAATATAAAAACTAACTCATCTTGATTTTTACAAATTGACAAAAAAGTTAATTTGTTACATCTCAGTTCAAATAGAGATCTCTAAAAAATAAAAATGAATATAAAATTTGATCATTTTTATTAATTTGAATATAAATATTTGTTTTAGTTACAACATCTTCAGAATCTTCATCTAAAAAATCTTCATCAACAAAATCTAAATCAAATAAATCATCTCATCGTCGTAAAGAAACTTCATCATCAAATTCTTCATCAACAACAACAACAGCAACAACAACAACAACAACAACTACAACAACAGCAAATCAAATACCTAAAAAATCTATTGCTGCTGATTTACTTCTTCCACGTTCAATAGCTGATCTTTCAGCTAAAATTCAATCTGTTTCATTTACTGCTGGTACATTTGGTTCAATAACATCACCAAATACAAATGAATCTTTTCAATCCTCATCTTCTTCCTCCTCCTCATCATCATCATCAAATTGTTCAACAACAACATTAACAGCAGCTAAAACAACAACATCAACGGGACAAACTCGTTTAAGTATTAATTTAACCCGTAAACCAGGTACAAAAACAACTGAACATGGTGGTCAAAAAATAGCTGAAGCACTTTTTAATGAATTAACAAGTTTTGGTAATGGAGAACATTTAAATAATGGAAGAAAAAAAGATAATCAACAATTTAAAAAAACTAAACAACAACGTTCAACTATCAATGAAACATTACTTAGTTTGTTGAATTTATTTTTATTTAAATAAAATAAAATAAAATAAAATATTTCTTTTTTATTTTAGATTCTACAAATAATTCTCATTCATTTTTTAATTCATCAAATAAATGTGATTCAAATTCATCATCATCATCATCATCATCATCAACAGCTTATCATAATTTAGATCATCTTCTTCGTCATGCAGCATCAAATACTGATGTATCTGAAGCAGCATTACATTCAATATTATCATCATTTCATTCTCCAACTTGTCTTGATTCATCATCATCATCATCATCAAAACATTCAATATCATCTAAAACAACTGAAGCATTACAAACATTACTTGCTCAACAACAACATCAACATCTTCATCATCATCATCATCATCATAATCAAAAAAAGAATTCATCAAATAATAATAATAATAATACTAATTGTAAATCTTGTGAATTTTGTTGTTGTGAATCATCTGAAGGACGAACATGTTCATCATCAACATGTCTTCATTTATCATCAACATCAAATACAACAAATGGACCAATAAGTAGTTGTGTTACATGTATGGCTTTACCAGGTACAACAACATCTGTTATGGGTACAACAATAACAGGTACTTTTAATCAACGTGATGTTGAAATGAAAGAACGTTTAAAACTTAAATTAACTAAAAGAAATGTACAAAATTTAACTGAACAACAAAATTTATTAAAAGATCAACAACAAAAAAAAAATTTAATAACTAATAAAAAACAATCAATACAAAATAATACAAAAACAAAAGAATTTCTTCTTAATGATCAAAATGATATTGATGATTTAGTTAGATTTATTGATGGAAATGAAACATTATCATCTAATAATAATGAACATCAAACAACAACAACAACAACAACAACAACACATGAAACAACATCAAAAAAAAATAAAAAGAAAAAAGATAAACAATCAAAAATTAATAATAATGATGAAATTAAAATAAATTCTTCTCAATCGAAAGAACAACAACAAAAAAAACAAAATGGATCAAATACTACTCAACAAACAACGTATATATTTCTATTCCTTTTTTTTTTGTTACTAAGAAATATTTCATAGTTTTGTATTTTTTTAATATTTAGTTCTTCTCAACAACCATCTCGTAGTACTTCATCTTCATCATCATCTACGAAAGTAACACCTCTATCATCCTCAACTCTTCCTATTCAAACTCAACAACCTTTATCAAAACGAAAACAAAAAGCTAAACTAAAACTTGAACAACAACAAAAACAAACAACTAATTCTCTAGATGAATCATCAACTTTTTCTAATACCATCATAACAACAACTAATACTCCTACATCAACATCTACGGATCCTCATCCAACTTCTTCTCAAAAATCTAATACACCTCGAAAAAATTTTGATCTTCCATCAGAAAGTTTTGATACACCTGAAGAGGAAGTCAACTGGATAACTATTTCACGTAAACAAAGTAAACATAAACCAACACCACCATCTGTGCCATCTCTATTAGCTCTACCTATTCAACCTGTTGTACCTCCAACGAATACAAAACAATATCGACAACAACAACAACAACAACAGATAACAGGTAATACTAAAAAGACAACTTCAACGATGAATTCTTCATCTAATGTTCAACAAAAAGTCATACCAACAATTGGCGCATCATCACATGGAACCTCGGATACAATATCAAATAATAATAATAATAAACAACAGCATACTAGTGTAGCTCCACCTCGTCTTCAAAATGTATTGAAAAATCATGCATCACATCAACCACAAAAAGTTGAATCATCAATCGTTTCACATCAACCAGCAGTGCAACCATCATTGAATCTTTGGACAAATAATAATATTCATGAACATACTCCAGGTATTATTCATTGGAAAAATAATTATTACTCGGGAATGGTTATTACGATTTTCTGTGCTTTATTTTTTTGTCGTATACATCCATTAATAGTAACATTCCATATGAAAACAAGTCTTGTTTCATCGTAATACACCAATGTATCTACAGTATTATACGGTCGTATATATGCCGTATTTCTATTTGATATATTCGTAAAACATTAATTTGATTTACGATAAAATACGATGCATAAATAGCTCATATAAAAACATTTACGACCGTATCTGTAGTGTATATTGTTTAATCAGAATATACTAAAGATAATTTATTATGATTTATATATTAATATTTGTAAAGAAAAAAGAATATTGATCACTTTTTATGTTTGAATTATGAAAATAATAGATTATTTTATTCTTTTACTTAGTAATACCATCCATGCCTCCATCTTCTGTCTTGCCATCATCATCAACTCTACTTCCTACAACACCATCTTATATTCCAACTCATACACCATCATCACCATCCTCTTCTTCTCTTGTAACGTCAATTCCAATTGGTGGTACATCTGTTATTCCATCATCATCATCATCATCTGTAATTCTACCTGAAGGTTTATCATCATCATCATCATCATCAATGTATTGGGATCCAAATGGTTTTCTTCTTCCATCATCATCTCAATCACTAATTATCCCTTCAACTGCCCCAGGTCCTGTACAACGACCACATTCATCATTTTCACCAGCGCCTGGTACGGTTAATAATACAACATCTCGATGTATTCAACGACCTTCACCTGAACCACGTTCTTGCTCAACAAATTCTGCTCCTTTTCCACTCTATTCTCCTATGAATTATGCTGTAGGTAGTTCAGGTTCAACGTGGAATGATACACCTGTAACGAATACAAACGAATCACATTGGAATTATTCACAAGAACAACAACAACATGGATTATCAACAACTCCAACTGATTTTCCTCTCTATGATCCATTTCATAGTGGTGCTGGGTTAACACTTTCATCAACGACAGAGAAAACATCATTGTTAAATGGATTTTCAGGTAGATAAATAAATGAAAATAATTTTTTGTTTGTTTTGATATTTATTTCTTTGTAATTTTTTTAAAAAGAACATTTTACTGATCTATGTACAATTCCACAAGATAATGATTGCAATGAAATGGATGCACTCGATAAAGAAATTGAAGATTTTAAAAAGTAAAAGTCTTATTTATTGATAAAAATTTTAAATTTTTTCGTTTATTTTTTCTATTATTTATTTTATTTAAGATTTTGTTTCGAAAATGTTCCGTCGGAAACACGTGAAAAAATACAAATTAATGTTGATCGCTGCTTTGTTCGTCAAGCTTGATGAAACTGAAGATTTTCTTTTTTTTTTTAAATTTTCTCTCAATTTTGTCGTTTATCTTGTTCGCATTGTACAGATCTATCACATTATGCGAGAGAAAACAAAAGCATAGACCTATTGAGAGAGAACAAATTTATTCTATACTTATACGCAAACAAAAAAATTTTTTTTTTCTTCTATTTGCCTTGCGCTTGCCTTTATATCATTAAGATATCAACATAAATAAAGACAAATGAAAAAAGATTAATATTACATTTATATAATTTTACAAACAAAACGATTATGAATAATAAGGATAAGGTGGTGGAGGTCCTGGAGTTTGTTGTGTCGATGGATAATTCATTTTATATTCTATATTGACAAGTAATTGTCCAGCTGGTCCATTATAATAATCTCTTAATGGAATCCATCGTTGTTGTTGAGGAGTCCAATTATTATTATTATTTAATAAAATTTGTATTGGAATATTACCATAAGCAATTGTTTGTTGTTGATATTCTGTTTGAATCCAAACACAAAGTTGATCATACTCAAATTGATAAATAGGAAATGAATATTGTTGTTGAAATTGTCCTAATGATGTTTGATATCTTTGATGATTACATTCCATAATAACAATTAATGGACCCCATTGATTTAATCCATCGATATGATTGACACTTATCAATAATTCACCATATCCCATAGATGGCGGAAATGGTGCTGGTTGTGGTGGTCCATAGGATGTTTGTTGTGGTGGTCCATAGGATGCTTGTTGTGGTTGATATTGAGGCGATGGTTTTGGATATATTGTTTGCGGAGATGGTTGTGGAGGCGGAATTGGACTGGCAGATGATGCATGTGAATCATGTTTATTGTGTTTTCGATTTTTCCACCAATCTTGAGCTTTATCGCATGCTGCATTGACTGCTCGATTCTCTAAATTTGATATAACTACCCATTCAGTAATTCGACCAGCGCGACCCAAAAAATCTGACATTTAAAGTTCTACTCAAAACTCAACAGCGTAGTTTTGTTTGTTCTGTTTTTTTTTGAGACTGAGTGTAATCTTTTTCTAACTGTGTTTATGACGGATGGTAAACCAATGGTAAGAACAGAGAAGAAAAATACTTTTTCTTTTCTCTTCCTGTATGACATTAACCATTCAGATTTCTCTGAATATTGCTAAAAAGAATATTAACGTTGTTTGGTGTCGAGAAGAAAAAGAACGATGTCGCTTGTTCTTTGACTGGTTTAATGTGGAACTTTTATCAGCATGAATCAACGTAATCTTTTTCTTTTATTCCAATGCTTACTAGTATGATGGTTAATGCTTGAAACTATATAGTTTCCTTCCATATTTCCTCTTTGATTAAAGTCTTCTATGCAATGAATATATCTCATAGACCTTGATGTACGCATCTACTTCTTACACATTGTGTTAGATAGATTAAAGAAACAATCGGAATATTCATTTACGGTAGAGCGATGAAACAATGATCTTTAAAGTAGTATTTTCTTATTAGACCAAGAAGAGTTTAAATTCTTCTATGCTATTGTTTTGTGTTGAAAACATCTTGACAAATTCAGTTAATTGGTAACAATGCATAAAACTCAATTAATACGTTAAATTATCATTAATTATAGAATCTGAAAAGAGGAATAATTCTCGTCATTTTTGAAGTTGTATCCTTGGTGAGAAACTTTTTCAAGTCAGCAGTAATAAACGAAGATTGGACTATTAACCGATTTAATTTTGTCATTGTGTATTTCATTAAATACTGAATATAGAATTAAAACACTGTGCTTGTTGTCTTAAGGGCACGCCCTCTTTTTAGTCATTTTTGGTTCTCGAAGAGGGTAAATAAGATTTTCGCAGTTTTTCGGGAAATCCTGGTTTCTATAGGAGCACATCGAGCCTGCTGACGACCTCTCTCTAACGTTGTCCGAACGGGTTAAAACTTCGACCAGAGATATTTGGAAGTACTCACCATTGATGATATCAGCCATTTTCGTTTTTGACCTTCCTACCCGGATTTATAGAGCCTTGAACGTCAGCACCCTAGTTTTGGATTCGAACCTTTACATAATTCTTTCATAAAGAAAAAAGAAAGCGAGATTTTTGAGAAATTTTAAAATCATCTCTGAGATATATAATCTAAGGTATCTGAAAAAAAATTCTGTTCAATCAGACAAGGTTAGACGGAGACCGTAAGCAGGTCCGATGTGGTCCTACTGGAAACCCTCGAAAACCTTATCTAAAATTTTTTTTCTCGATCATGTATCTTCATATTTTAGGTACTGTATCTTTGGTAATAATTTCATGTAGATCGGTTGTACCCTCTTCGAGAACATACACAAGATTATGTATATTTCCCATTGACATGTACTCAAGGTCGGAAACAATATTCCATTGACATAGAGTTAAATGAATACAAACAATATTTTAAAGAACTTCTTTTATAGGAAAAAATTATTTTGTTACAGATAAACATTATACTGATAATGTGTTTATAACTAAAGCAGTCTATTTAGAAATAGTTGAACTAAACAATTTGATTTATCCGTTTTTTTGCAAGTTCGTTCATCATTGATCTTTCTAATGAATTTCATAAAATGTTCAGAATGATGAAGACATAATTCAAAAAGTATTCTGCTACTAAACTCAGTCCACAAATGTTGAATGTCAAGAAAATAATCGACACTGTACGAATGATTAACAATGTTATTGTTACTTCTGCTTTATAGAAATAAAATTGTTCTTGATTTCGAAAGTTATTCAATTGTCATACAGACATATTCTTTTAATTTTACTATTGTAGTTTGATAGTTAATTTATATTCGTTTCAGATGTGAAAAATCATTTCTTTCATTGGTTCTCGTTTATTTTTATTGATCCTTTGAATGTATAAATGCATATAAAGCTATCGTTCGTAATTGTGATAAATAAGCAACTAATTGTTGTGCAACACGAAGAACTTCTGAATCTACTTTCGTACTTTTGACTTTAAAAGAAAATTCAGCTTTGACATCGTCTATTCTTGGATAATGCATTATTTCTGCTTCAAATTTTTTTCCTGCCAAACTAATAGTAAATTCAGCTGTTTGCATAGTGACTTTGCCCAATGAATCAGGTACGATAATGATTGGTTGACCGGAACGAGTAACTGTACCAGCATTAATAAGAATTGAAGACAGATTAACTGGAGATATTTGATCGAAATCAAATGATAGACTCGTAGTAAAACTATGTGCACTTTTAACTGTAAGCTTACCATTGTCAGTATGTATATCGAGTTCAAATTTAACGACTGTACTGTTAAGATAATCTTCTGCAATCTGAGAAAAGAACAAGAAAATATTTGATTGAATTAAGAAAAAGAAGATATTTACTTTTAATTGTAAACATGCAAGAGCTGGATCAATATTTGAAATTTTCATTACAATATCAGCTGGTGCTGTTATTTTCTTTTGTCGTGATTTAAATACTGGTCTTATATAAAAATCATTTTCAGGTCGATTATTATCCGAAACATATTGAGTAAATGATACATTTTTAAATTTCAAAGATGATTGTAATACTTTAAATGGTATCATTTTTAAATCTTCAATTTTTACTAATTCATCAATAACTTGCATGACACCAGTTTCAAAAGAATTTATCATGAGATCTGGTCGAAGAAAAACTTGATATTCGCGTGATGAGTATTCACAATCCATTGACATAATTTTATAAACATGATTAATTAAAATCCAAATAAATGGGATAAATAGGTACATTATTGTATAATAATACAATGGAAATGTGCTATAAAACGAAAAATATATTAAAAATAAATAGGTTTTCGTAAGGTATGAAGTTGAATATCAATATTAATCAAGAGATAGATGTTGATAACTGATATCTTGTTTTCGTTAGTAGCTTTAGTGACTTATGATGCACGAAATACAATCTTACTTGGTTTTTAATATGATCTAGCATCAGAATATTGACATTTTATTTTTGTATTTCTTTCGTTGGTAAATACATTTAATGTTAATCTGCTTTTGACGAGAATTGCTTAAGAAAAATATCACTTGAGACAGAAAGAAAAACAAAGAATTAAACCTAAAGACTGCATATTTTACTTTAGTTAAAGAATGAAATGGCCTATGATTAAGAAAATATATATAAGTAAGGCTTTTTTTTGAAAAAATAAAATACTACCAAATGTATTTGTCCTTTCGTTTTGTCTTTTTTTTTTGCTTTGTAACCTAACATAATTTTACTAGTAATCGTCTCGAAATAAATAATAACTTCTCGACTAAACAACACATTCTAGATTTTTTAACTCTGATATAATTTATTGTATATAATTCAATGTAAAATATGACAGTTTTATCTTTAACATAATCTTCTATATTTGAACAAACTTTAGAAATAGATTCAAAAGTATAATAAAAGTACAAGACTTATAGAACAAAAAAATAGATTGTGTCAAATGTTGTTAATATTTCAATCGTTTGTTTAATCAGTTTTACATTATCAATTGGATCTATAAATCAATAATGTGATTATTCTGAAAAATATTATGAAACACAGAAAAGTTTTTCGCAAACTTTTTCAATGTTATTATCTCAATGGCGATAAAAACAAGAGACTTGAACTATCATTCTATCACTTCTATGATCATTCAACTTGTTACTATACCTATCAAATTATAACTAATTGAATCGATTCTCGATCACAATTTGTGTTTATTTAAGGCCACACTTTCTAATTATATATGATGAGAATGCAATTCGATGGCATTGTACATAATTGATAGCATTGAAATAAACGAGTGAACATATGGTTTGTAAAATAATTGATTTGTTGGATATTTCGCAGCAGTGTCACAAGTGAATAAAGAAAGAAAAAAGTCAATATAAAACAGTGAATGGCATTATATTCCACATCTTGTTAACAAAAAAAAATGTGTTCACGATTTACTCCAAGAATTATTGGCATTCATCTTATTGGTTCATTTTTCGCGATGGAAAGA